CAGTGTCTGTGAAGGTTATCAGTCATCAAGGCCATAGTAGTCTAAGGAGCTTGGAAAGAAAAGCGCCTGGACTTCTTTAAGTTAAAGAAGTCCAGGCGCTTTTCTCCAAGCTCCTTAGACTTGGTGACGGTGGGAAAGAAAAACTCCCTTTTAACAGGAAGAAACTTTCGGCAGAACCAGGCTCAGTGAGGGGCGGCCATCTGCCTCGACCGGTTGGGGGGGGCACAGCTGTTATAACCCCTGACGCAGCATAGCTTCTAATTCTGAAAGATACGTAGATACCTTAAACCTGCACTCTATGCAGGACACCAAGCGATGACACGACTTGCAGTACTATAGGAGTCTATGCAGAAACAGTTTTCTCTCTTGAATCTCTGTAATTTTTTTGCTACTGAGTGTCTGGGTGCAGTCACTCATTTTGGGCCAATTAAATCAAATGAACTTCCATTGTCTAAGTTATAGCCCTATTGAACCTGCGTTAACCAGGTTTAATAGGGAGGGCCAAAGTCGTAGTTGTGCTAAATTTCCTCGAATTCTCCTCGGAGATTTTCGAGTAGCTTCCTTTGTTCTTGAAAGTTCTTTTCCATTTGTCTCATCGCTTCCCGTCCATTCCACATCTTTTTGGTAAGGTCACTAACCGTATTTTCTAAGGCCTTATTTTGTTGTTTGAGTATGTCAACTTGGACATCGTAGTTGTTTATCAGATTGTTATGTTCTTCCTGTGAAACTTTGGGAGTCTGAGCTTGGGTTTGCAACGCCATGTCTTCTGTTTTCAAGGCTTCCTGTAAATCATACTGATTTTTCTTGACCTCTTCAAGCTCTCTTTTCATTTCCTCAAATTCATGGCACAACAACTCCTTTTCTCTGTTGGTCACTTCAAAATCATGTTCGGAGTCTTTCTCAGTGGCTTTGGAGATCCGTGATTCTCCTTTCACACCCTCATCGTGTGGTTTCAGTTCTTTTTGAGAATCACCACTCCTTTTGGAAAGCTCCTGGAGGTCCTGTTCAAGAAGTTCGTTATGCCGCCTCAATATGTCAATTTCATGTGCAAAGCATTGGCGTTCCAGGGTCTGTCTGAGCTGTTCACTGTCCGTTGTTTTGTTTTCCTCATTCATGATCCTTTTTCTTTCTTCACTCTCTTGTAACTCTTTAAAGGCTGTGTTTGCCTGATGGAGCTCAGTTTTAACAGCCTGTATTTCCTGTTGCATGTCATCTTTTTCCTTTTCAAAGTCCCTTTTCAGCTCACACATGCGTTTTACCGTCACATCATTTTCCTCTCTTAAAGACTGGTTGTCCTTTTCCATGTCTCCCACTTTTATAACCAAGCCTGTCTTGCTGCTTTGCAACTCTCTGATTTCTGCTCCATTTCCTGCATCACCTCTTTCTGTTGCTGGATCTCTTTGGTTTTGGAGCTGTTTAAATCCTTTAGAATTTGGTTCCAATATTCCAGCTCTTGAATTTTGAAGTGAATTGTTTCATTCTCTAGTTGCAGGTCTCTTTTCCTCTTGTTTTTAGAGAACCCACTTCGTTTGAAGAGAACTTCAATGTTTTTTTGGAGAATCTTGTTCTCATTTATGAGCTCTCTTTTTTGCTCCTTAAGGTCGGCGTTCTCGACTTTAAGGTCACGTATGGTAGAGTTTTGTTGTTTGAGAGTTTTATTCTCATTTTTCAGCTCTTTGATTTGCTGTTTAAGTTTTTCGTTCTCGGCTCTCATGTTGCATACAACAGGATTTGACAGACTCATATTTCAAATTGAAGTTGATGCTAAATCTCTGTACCAACTAAAAGATTTTTTAAAAATACCGTCAACTGTGTCAGAAACGCAAGTTTCCAGTAGTTTCCTGCCTAGTGAATTCTTCCACTCTCTTTGAAAGACTGACAAGAGTGAGAACCTCTCCCCTATTTATAGGTTTTCGTGTGCTGATGTCATAAAGAAGACCAGAGATCAAAGGGATTCTGGTGAAACGTCACTGTGTCTGGTCTGGGCAGTTCTGAATTGAATAATAACAAAATGACGGGGGGCGTGTCTGGTAGCCATGTGAAGACGTGTTGTACAGGGCTCCTCAATGGACTAACTTGTTTCATAATTCCATTGCTCCAAAACTAACGAACTTTTAACAACAGTACGATAACACGCCCGTGTGCTGCTCTGAGGCACTTTTTACATCTTCAAGGCTACGGTGTACGAATATGAGCAAAACTAGATCGGGGAAAGAGCAGGCCGCAAAAGCCTCGGACCTGTCACGGTTGTTAAAGAGTGGACTCAGGCGCGGAGCTCAGAAATAATGACAGTGCATTTATTTACAGTGCAGCAAGGTGACAACAGTTCAAATGTGCAACAATGGTGATAGTGCGTCCCTCCTTCCGTGTAAGCCCGTGCGTGGTAGTGAGTGCCCGTCTCTCCTCCAAGTGCTTCCTTAGTGTCCGTAAATCCTCCGTCAATCCCTGGGTGACACACACACACACACACGACAGCAGAATGAGTACGAAGATCAGACAGCACTTCAATAACGTTAGCGACTCAAAAACACTACCAGGCTTAGTGCAATACTCCAGCGCTGTCTGTCGCTCAGCCACACCATTAAGTAGCCCTGCTACTAGTTGATTGGCAGCAGCTGGTGGATTGACTGCAGGTGCGGCAGCTCCGGGCGACAGCACTTCCGGGTCGGAGGTAGCCTGTTGCTAGGTTACCTCCTAGCACATCACAGCGGAGCCGGAGGGGAAGACAGGGCGATAGGAGAGACATATTCACACTGTGGTATCGCAAGATATAAGTGGTTATATAAATATATGAGTATACATAATAGTTATTATTCATAGATACCTACATCCTAAGTTCCTGTTATTCTTCTGAAAGAAACAGAATGAATGTGTTGTTACAATGGTAATGCCAGGAGAGGCAGTATTAGTTCTGTGTTACATTAATGTGTAAGGAAGTGGAAGAAGTGTGTGTCCTGTAGGAGGCAGTAGAAAATGGATGCTCATGTTCTGTACATGCCCTGAAAGTAAGGTTCAGTAAACCAGTGCAACGATACTCCGGTGTAAGGCTCAGTTATTGTATTTTTATTTTTTGAAGATGCAACACACACGCACACAGATATACACACACTGGCAGGTCGACCGGTCAGGGCGCCGTCAGATCCTGACAGGACCATGCTGAGGACAGACCGGAGGCACCACCCCATGACATGAGTGAGATTATGAGAGCTATTGCTAGCTCTGAAAAGACGATATTGGACCGTATCGATTCAAGCACGAAAGATTTATTATTCCAGAGGTTGGGACATTTTTTTCTGCACCTGATTTTGGTACCTGAATGGCAAGCTCGCAAAGTCATCTGTCTTCGTTTTATAAGCTGGAATGTTAAAGGTATAAATATCCGGTTAAACGCACAAGGGCTTTTACTCATTTAAATCTTGAGATCGATGTTGTATATCTGCAGGAAACACCTCCGATCAAGTGAACAAATAACTAATTAAATGTTTCTCTGCTTGTCTGCATTGCCCAAATTGTTCTATTTGGTGATGTATCATAGAACTGTACTATATGTGTATGTAGTTTCTGTGTTTGTAGTAACTCATAACCTAAGGTCTCAGCTAATTTATCTTTGCAGAGATGTTCATTTGATTGTACAGCAGTAGGAAAGAGCAGTACAAGAGTAGGACGCTAAGCTAATTATGGCTAACATTTGGAATTTAATGAAAGCAAAATTGACCTTGCAAGATGGATAGGTTTATTTAGAAAGTCAGCTATTTACATTTGTGTTCGTCCCAAGTAGGAGATTTTGAATTGAGTCTAATTGACCCGCAAATTTACTTACATCAAAACTTACAAATTTACATCAAAACTTCTGAAGATGCAGGTCTCTGTGCAGCAGCTGAGTCTGTGGTGTAGAGGGTGAAGAGGAAGGGGGAGAGGATGGTCCTTATGGTGCTCCTGTGTTGCTGATTACCTTGTCAGACACACAATGTGGAAGACGCACATATTGTGGTCTTCCTGTCAGGTAATCAACAATCCAGGACACTAGAGAAGCATCCCCCTGCATCGCTGTTAGCTTATCACCAAGCACTGGAAAGTAAAAAAACATGAACCTCACAGTGCTCGCGGCTGGTGGATGTAGACACGATTGAGCAGATAGATGATGGGCCCTGTGAGACGGGGCTGGTAAGCAATTGAATGGGATCCTGATGTGGTCTGACAATGGGTGAGATCTGGTCCAGGATGAGCCTTTCCAGGGTCTTCATGATGTGGGAGGTCAGTGTCACAGGCCTGTAATCCTGGGGGCCACTGGGACGTGGCGTCTTTGGTACAGGGACGAGGCTTGATGTCTTCCACAGCACTGGGACCCTCTTCAGACTCAGCATGAACAGTTTATGGAAGACTCCACAAGCTGGGGGGCACAGGCCTTGAGGGGACTCACTCCATCTGGTCCAGCAGACTTGCTGAGTGGAGTTTCTTCATTTGCATCTGAACCTGGTAAGCATTTAACACTACTACACTGACATACATAATTTTCAATTTAATGAGTTAAAAATTTGTTGTCTTATTGTCAGTTGTTATTGACAGCAAGATTATTAGAAATATATGAAAAAATGTACATTAAATGGGAAGTTCAGGAGCTGAATCAATGACAGTTTTTTTTTTTCAAATGAAAGTGACAAAGGTGCAGATTCATACATAGATGCTGTCATATTAACAGATGTTAATGTGTGAAAGGGCTTTAACCCTCCCATTATGATGTGGGTCGAGTTGACCTGATTTAAAATGTAAAAGGAAAATTGTTAAAAGTACTTTTTAATACAAAATTGCTGTTTGGCTTAAAAATGTAACCAGCTTGTAAAATGAAACTGGTTTACCTGGCAGCCAGAGTGGAGGCTAAAGGCGACTGAAACTACTTCTTTCTTTGCAACTGTGAGACATATTATACACACACACACACACACACGACAGTAATGCTTGGCCCAGTGAAATTGAATGCTGATTGAAGTACACCTTAATTATCAACTAAAAGCAAAAGAGAAAAAAAACATAAGTAATATTTTTTAAAGACATTACTGAGAAACTTTCCAGGATTCGCCACTGATGCATCAGTGGGTCTGAATTTCCAGTGCAGTCTCTCATCAAGTATGTTAAAATTGATGATAAATTCAACAAAACTACAGGGAAACACTCTGGAAGATTCTGCTGCTGCTCATTTTTCTCCAATTCCAACCAAAAGTGCCACCAAAAAGCAAAGGTTTCCAGAAGGTACACAGCGATCAGGCAACTGTCACCTTTGACCTGACAAAAAAAGTAAATTATATTAGAAATACTCCATCTTGTGGCAATCAGTGATTGCTTGCTTTTATATTTCTTTCAGCTTACCAATGCTGATTCCATTTGATCAGCAGTATCATCTGAAACCCAGAGCAAAGAACAGTGAATATTGCAGGGCACATTAACTGAAGTGAACTAAAGCAGTCAGCTATGTTTTTAATCATTTTATTTATACAGGTTGAGTTATGATATTAGTTTTAAGCTTTAACAGAAGAAGAACAATTTGAAATCAATTTAAATAAAATTGAGTCGAGTTGAGTAGTTGTGGTGATTGAAAAAAAACAAAAAAACAACTTTCAGAACGATAACAATGTGCTGGAAGCTCTATGTAAACATTTAGCATGTCAAGTTGCCATTGGTCATGGAAAGTGTGTGCGGCACGGGGGGGTAAAACATTTTTTAAAAATCACCAAACATTAACCAGTTTTTGTAGACACAAAGAGGTTGTGATCATATTTTTTTTAAATAATTTGTGTGACTGAGCCACACATTGAGCCACAGCATTGTCAAACTACACGTGTCCAAATTGGATAGTCTCAGTTGAGACATTTCAATGCAAGTTCTCTCTGATAACATTAGGTTGGTGGTGCATGAGCTGAGCCTTCGTGTATAGTATTCCCAGAGTATTTTCATGCATTTAATAAATCGAAAGATAAAGATTCCTTTGTCGCTGTACTTCAGCACAGTTAAAGTGTAACAGCTTTTGTTCCAGCAGACTACCATTGAGACATTCTTACGCGTTTTCACTCATCAATTCATAAATACCAATATTGTCAGGGTCCTGGGACTGGGCGACCCAGGATCCTGAGCAGTCATGTATTATATTATTATTATTATTATTGCTGTGTATTTTGGTGTTGCTCCCCCTTCCCTGTGCTTGTGTATATGTGTGTGTGGGTGGCTGAGCACTTGTTTATAGGCGGCGTCAGGCCTGGAGGGTGTGGCCCTGCAAGGGGACTGGCCACACCCGAAGCCACACACCTGCTGCTGATCAGGCCTCGTCGGGGGAGCTACTTAAGAGAGTCTTGGAGCTCCCACTGACGCGGGATCATTGCTTGGGACTCCACGTTAGTTACCCAGTTTAGGTTTTGGTCGTGTAGTGTATGCCTGCCATTGTTCAGTGTCCTGACTGCTGCCGCTATTGTTTCCCGCAGGAGGAGCGTGGAAGGCTTAAGGAGCAGCGAGCACCGGGAGTGCAGACACGGGAGCAGAGAGCACTTGGAGGACACGACACGGGAGTCTGGGGAGAACACGGGGATTTATTGTTGTTTGATATCACCCTCTGTAAATAAACACTGTCTATACGTAGAGCACCGCGCCTGGGTCCTCCTTCCCCACTCCTTCCACGGTGTGCCATGCCGTACCGTGACAAATATTTGATGCTGCTGTGTTATACACAGAAAATCTTGTGATACAGTGCTGTTTATTTTACCCATCCAACCACATTCTGAGGTGTACAGGGGTTATACTCTTCGCTCAGTCAGCTAAATGCTGCTGAACTGATCAGGTGGCTCTTCACCGTGCAAATGGACTGTTGGGTCTAGATTGGTTTTTGTCATTAAAGTGTATATGGGTAGTGATGATTTTTTCCTTCATCACTGAAATGCAAAAAAAAAGGCTTACCTCTGTGTTTAACTACCCAATCATGGACCTCCAAAATGATGATGAAGAGAACTTCCCAGGCAAAGAAGCCACCCATCACTTTCAATAGCCACCCATCATCACTGTCAATCCTGTCCAGGCCTGTAAATATGGCTGCCACTGTGTGACACAAAGAAGCAGGCATTTTAAGACGAGCAGCATGGGTGACAGTGTGTCTGCTATTGAAAATGTTAGCATATATGCAAGATGGTAGAATGAAGTAAAACACAAGCTTACCAGCTATAGATTTTATTACCACCGCATTTAAAAAATGTGTCCAGTTGAACAGATACCTCCTATCAAAGAAAAGAGAAGAACTATAAAATCATCAGCTTCTGAAGTTCTTGTCTAAGATTTCTCCTGCATCCAATTTATGAAAACAAGTATCATTACTGAACATACAATTTTACTAAATCTATATTTCACTTAAAAAATATTTCATTTACTGAGTCTGGCCTCCAAAGCTACAACCAGGCTATATTTATTAAAAGCACCATTATTACTAAGAGGAAGGAATAACTTTCACGAGTCATGTGCAAATTAGTTTCCTACTTGGTGTTTCAGTGTGAAAGTGTGCTCTGATAAAGCACATGCAGGCTACACTTTGCAAAAGTTTGAAATTTTAAAAACTTTTATGGCTGAAGTATGAATACAACTCTTAGGGTTATCAAATAACTTTATAACCTCACTTTGCCGAGTGAGCAGTGCATTTAGTCATTAAGCATGTACTGCCCCATTCCTTTGGTTTATCGTGTTTTCAAAATTTGTTAAATAATTGTAGAGAAAAAAAAAGTGAGGCCATTTTTAATTTTTTTTTAAATAATATTTGAACAGAGTATTCTTAAATGTGTATAGGCATGATATAGTATATTAATTAAACACACACAGATGGATACATACAGGTGATGTTGTGGTCCGCAGCGCAGCAAGGCCCCGATAGGCTGGATGAGTGAGAGGATCATAACCAGGCACCCCAACACTGGATGTGCTCCCTGGATACCAAACACATTAACAGTGCTAATCATGGGGCATAAATATCAGTCTGAGAGCTGAAACACACAACTAAAGAGTGCTTAATGAATATCAAGAGAAAAGAAAAAAAAAACCACTTTGAAGGGGTATATTAATCTTGCCTGTGGATGCAACTTGCAGACTGGAGGAGATAAGACATGGACATAACTAAGCACAAGCAGAACATGATGGCTGGGGGGGAAACACACGTGACAGAAGGAATGGGTCACAAGGGAAAAACATGTAAACGAGACGGGAGAAAAGGACATTACTGAAATACATGAAGGGCCAGGGCTGGGACAGCCAACCAGTCACAGACAAAGAGCCACATCATACACCTGGGCGCACATGAACATCACCCATCCCTTCCTCTGTCCTGCGTTCAGTTTAGGGTATCGAACTCAGGACCCTAGCCTCATCAGGCCGGGGTCTTTGTGTGGAGTCTGGATGTTCTCTCGAGCTTCCTCCCACAGTCTAGGGACATGCAGTTAGTGGGGGTCTTCTCGCCCCGTTCACATTCACACAGAGATGAATTGAAGATCACCTTGTGGTTAGTGCCTTCTATTCGATGTACAGACTGAATAATAACACCTTCTAATTAGTTCTGTCTCCTATTGGTGCTCTTCTACGAGTGATCAGTGCTTGATGGCTTACTAAGCTTAACTTTTTTTCACAACATTGATAACAAACACACACAGAACAACAACAACATATGTTATCTAAAAAAAACTTGATTGGACCAAAGTTTTGATGTTCATCCTACATGTTTATTGAGATTGTCTAATGTCTGCGACGGTATCTTCTCCCACGTCTGCGGACACCCGAGGCCTTGTGGGGTCTCTTGTGTCTGCGAACGGGGCGAGAAGACCTCGCATGTCTGCGTCTATACCTGCGTCGTGGCATTGTCCAAAACGGCGGTACCTGCTCCACGTCACGGGTTCTATTTATGGACTCACCTGGCAACTTTAGTGATGTCACTGCTGATGTTGTCACTGTTGGTGTGACCTCATGACTCATTCATGCCATCTGAACTGTGGTGTAATTATGAGGTCACAGGGGGACGTGAATTTATTCACAAAGTTGATAGAGAGTTTGGGTCATAACTCAAAGATGCAATGATGCAGTCAAATCATTTGGAATTAAATATCTCTGTCAGTGCGCCCCAGGGTGGCTGTGGCTACAATGTAGCTGCCATCACCAGTGTGTGAATGGGTGGATGACTGGATGTGTAAAGTGCTTTGGGGTCCTTAGGGACTAGTAAAGCGCTATGCAAATACAGGCCATTTACCATCTATAAATTACAAGATTTAGAGGGTTCTGACATCACAGTCATCTTTCTGACATTGACATCCAGTCTCTCTGTTGTGATATCAGATGTTAATGCCAGATTCATCTCTCTGTTGTGATGTCAGATATCAATGCCAGATTCATCTCTCTGTTGTGATGTCAGATATCAATGCCAGATTCGTCTCTCTGTTGTGATGTCAAATATTAATGCCAGATTCGTCTCTCTGTTGTGATGTCAAATATTAATGCCAGATTCGTCTCTCTGTTGTGATGTCAGATATTAATGCCAGATTCGTCTCTCTGTTGTGATGTCAAATATTAATGCCAAATTCATCTCTCTGTTGTGATGTCAAATATTAATGCCAAATTCGTCTCTCTGTTGTGATGTCAAATATTAATGCCAGATTCGTCTCTCTGTTGTGATGTCAGATATTAATGCCAGATTCGTCTCTCTGTTGTGATGTCAAATATTAATGCCAGATTCATCTCTCTGTTGTGATGTCAAATATTAATGCCAAATTCATCTCTCTGTTGTGATGTCAGATATCAATGCCAGATTCATCTCTCTGTTGTGATGTCAGATATCATTGCCAGATTCGTCTCTCTGTTGTGATGTCAGATATTAATGCCAGATTCATCTCTCTGTTGTGATGTCAAATATCAATGCCAGATTCATCTCTCTGTTGTGATGTCAAATATCAATGCCAGATTCATCTCTCTGTTGTGATGTCAAATATTAATGCCAGATTCGTCTCTCTGTTGTGATGTCAAATATTAATGCCAGATTCGTCTCTCTGTTGTGATGTCAGATATCAATGCCAGATTCGTCTCTCTGTTGTGATGTCAAATATCAATGCCAAATTCGTCTCTCTGTTGTGATGTCAGATATCAATGCCAAATTCGTCTCTCTGTTGTGATGTCAGATATCAATGCCAGATTCATCTCTCTGTTGTGATGTCAAATATTAATGCCAGATTCGTCTCTCTGTTGTGATGTCAGATATCAATGCCAGATTCGTCTCTCTGTTGTGATGTCAAATATCAATGAAAGATTCGTCTCTCTGTTGTGATGTCAGATATCAATGCCAAATTCGTCTCTCTGTTGTGATGTCAGATATCAATGCCAGATTCGTCTCTCTGTTGTGATGTCAAATATTAATGCCAGATTCGTCTCTCTGTTGTGATGTCAGATATCAATGCCAGATTCGTCTCTCTGTTGTGATGTCAGATATCAATGCCAAATTCGTCTCTCTGTTGTGATGTCAAATATTAATGCCAAATTCTTCTCTCTGTTGTGATGTCAGATATCAATGCCAGATTCGTCTCTCTGTTGTGATGTCAGATATCAATGCCAAATTCGTCTCTCTGTTGTGATGTCAGATATTAATGCCAGATTCGTCTCTCTGTTGTGATGTCAGATATCAATGCCAAATTCGTCTCTCTGTTGTGATGTCAGATATTAATGCCAGATTCGTCTCTCTGTTGTGATGTCAGATATCAATGCCAGATTCGTCTCTCTGTTGTGATGTCAAATATCAATGCCAAATTCGTCTCTCTGTTGTGATGTCAGATATTAATGCCAGATTCGTCTCTCTGTTGTGATGTCAAATATCAATGCCAAATTCGTCTCTCTGTTGTGATGTCAGATATTAATGCCAAATTCGTCTCTCTGTTGTGATGTCAAATATTAATGCCAGATTCTTCTCTCTGTTGTGATGTCAGATATTAATGCCAGATTCGTCTCTCTGTTGTGATGTCAGATATTAATGCCAGATTCGTCTCTCTGTTGTGATGTCAGATATTAATGCCAGATTCGTCTCTCTGTTGTGATGTCAGATATCAATGCCAAATTCTTCTCTCTGTTGTGATGTCAGATATTAATGCCAGATTCGTCTCTCTGTTGTGATGTCAGATATCAATGCCAAATTCGTCTCTCTGTTGTGATGTCAGATATTAATGCCAGATTCGTCTCTCTGTTGTGATGTCAGATATCAATGCCAGATTCGTCTCTCTGTTGTGATGTCAAATATCAATGCCAAATTCGTCTCTCTGTTGTGATGTCAAATATTAATGCCAGATTCGTCTCTCTGTTGTGATGTCAGATATTAATGCCAGATTCGTCTCTCTGTTGTGATGTCAGATATCAATGCCAAATTCGTCTCTCTGTTGTGATGTCAGATATTAATGCCAGATTCGTCTCTCTGTTGTGATGTCAGATATCAATGCCAGATTCGTCTCTCTGTTGTGATGTCAAATATCAATGCCAAATTCATCTCTCTGTTGTGATGTCAGATATTAATGCCAGATTCGTCTCTCTGTTGTGATGTCAAATACCAATGCCAGATTCGTCTCTCTGTTGTGATGTCAAATATTAATGCCAAATTCGTCTCTCTGTTGTGATGTCAAATAATAATGCCAGATTCGTCTCTCTGTTGTGATGTCAGATATCAATGCCAGATTCATGTCTCTGTTGTGATGTCAAATATCAATGCCAGATTCATCTCTCTGTTGTGATGTCAAATATTAATGCCAGATTCGTCTCTCTGTTGTGATGTCAGAAATTAATGCCAAATTCGTCTCTCTGTTCTGATGTCAAATATTAATGCCAGATTCGTCTCTCTGTTGTGATGTCAAATATTAATGCCAGATTCGTCTCTCTGTTGTGATGTCAGATATCAATGCCAGATTCGTCTCTCTGTTGTGATGTCAGATATCAATGCCAGATTCGTCTCTCTGTTGTGATGTCAAATATTAATGCCAGATTCGTCTCTCTGTTGTGATGTCAAATATTAATGCCAGATTCGTCTCTCTGTTGTGATGTCAAATATTAATGCCAGATTCGTCTCTCTGTTGTGATGTCAAATATCAATGAAAGATTCGTGTCTCTGTTGTGATGTCAGATATCAATGCCAGATTCGTCTCTCTGTTGTGATGTCAGATATCAATGCCAGATTCGTCTCTCTGTTGTGATGTCAAATATTAATGCCAGATTCGTCTCTCTGTTGTGATGTCAAATATTAATGCCAAATTCGTCTCTCTGTTGTGATGTCAGATATCAATGCCAAATTCGTCTCTCTGTTGTGATGTCAAATATCAATGCCAGATTCGTCTCTCTGTTGTGATGTCAAATATTAATGCCAGATTCGTCTCTCTGTTGTGATGTCAAATATCAATGCCAAATTCGTCTCTCTGTTGTGATGTCAGATATCAATGCCAGATTCGCCTCTCTGTTGTGATGTCAAATATTAATGCCAAATTCATCTCTCTGTTCTGATGTCAAATATTAATGCCAAATTCGTCTCTCTGTTGTGATGTCAAATATCAATGCCAGATTCGTCTCTCTGTTGTGATGTCAGATATCAATGCCAGATTCGTCTCTCTGTTGTGATGTCAAATATCAATGCCAGATTCGTCTCTCTGTTGTGATGTCAAATATCAATGCCAAATTCGTCTCTCTGTTGTGATGTCAGATATCAATGCCAAATTCGTCTCTCTGTTGTGATGTCAGATATTAATGCCAGATTCGTCTCTCTGTTGTGATGTCAGATATTAATGCCAGATTCGTCTCTCTGTTGTGATGTCAAATATCAATGCCAGATTCGTCTCTCTGTTGTGATGTCAAATATTAATGCCAAATTCGTCTCTCTGTTGTGATGTCAAATATCAATGCCAGATTCGTCTCTCTGTTGTGATGTCAAATATTAATGCCAAATTCGTCTCTCTGTTGTGATGTCAAATATTAATGCCAGATTCGTCTCTCTGTTGTGATGTCAGAAATTAATGCCAAATTCGTCTCTCTGTTCTGATGTCAAATATCAATGCCAGATTCGTCTCTCTGTTGTGATGTCAGATATTAATGCCAAATTCGTCTCTCTGTTCTGATGTCAAATATCAATGCCAAATTCGTCTCTCTGTTGTGATGTCAGATATCAATGCCAGATTCGTCTCTCTGTTGAACAGTGTCCGGGTTTACACCAGCCCACCAGATTTCTTATTTGTATTGCCCTGTAGTAATCCTGTAGGCAAGGGATACCTAATCCTCCTTTATCTTTGGGAAGCTGAAGTGTTTTGAACTTAACTCTTGGCTTTTTACCCGCCCATATAAATCTTGAGAGGGTCCTATCCCACTCTACAAAGTATCTATCAGGGTTTTCTATAGAAACAGACTGGAATAAGTTTAATATCTTTGGGAGCATATTCATTTTTATGATGTCCACTCTAGAAGAAATGCTTAGATAGACCATCTGCTAATATTTAGCATGATATCTTTTTTAAGTAGGGGGTAGTTGATTTCTTCCAAGCTAGTTATATCCATTGATAAGTTTATGCCCAGATATTTGATAGTTCTTTTGTCCCAGCTTAGTTTGTATTTGTTGAGCAGATTCTGGGGAGGGCTATAAAAGCTACTAAGAACTTGTGTTTTTTGTATATTCAATTTATATCCCGAGTATAGCCCATACTCCTTTAACACTGACATGAGCTCCATAAGTGATTCGGTAGGTTTTGATAAGTAAACCAAAATGTCATCTGCAAACAGAATCAGAATCAGAGACTTTATTGTCATTGTCATGAGAACAACGAAATGAAGAATGGTCCCCGATCATTGCATCATCCCTAGCAATATCACAATAAAATTCAATAAATAAAATAGATAGAATTCTTAAAATACTAATAAGATATAACAGTAAAACATTCACATACATTCTCACACACATGCTTCAGACCGTGCATAGATTAACACAAGAGTGGCGTGATGGACATTTTTTTGTAGTATTCAGATGTGTTATTGCAGTTGGATAACAGCTGTGTTTGAGTCTATTAGTCCTTGCTCTGATTGCCCTGTACCGTCTGCCTGAGGGCAACAGTTCGAACAGGGAGTGGCCAGGATGTGAGGTGTCTTTTATGATGTTTTGGGCCTTTTTAAAACAGTGGGCGTTGTGTAGAACTTCCAGTGTGGGGAGAGGGCAGCCAGTGATCTTTTGGGCAGTGTTAATGATCCCTTGGAGTGCTTTCCTCTGAGCCCCTGTGCAGCTAGTGTACCAGATGCATATGCAGTAAGTTAGAACACTCTCAATGGTGGCTCTGTAGAAGGACACCAGCAGTCTCTGTGTGATGTTATTCCTCCTGAGAATTCTCAGGAAGTACAGTCTCTGTTGGGCCTTTTTCAGCAGCTCGGAGGTGTTCACACTCCAGGAAAGGTTCTCCTCTATATTGACTCCCAGGAAGCGGAAGCTTGCCACCCTTTCTACACAGTCCCCATTTATGAATAGTGGTTGGATCTCTGCCTTTTTCCTTCTGAAGTCTATTATGAGTTCTTTGGTTTTTGAAGTGTTGAGGAGGAGGTTATTGGCCTTACACCATGACGTCAGCTGCTCCACCTCGTCTCTGTACGTAGACTCGTCTCCCTTGGAAATGAGCCCCACCACTGTGGTGTCATCTGCAAATTTCACAAAGATGTTGCTGTGGTGGCGAGGAGTGCAGTCGTGTGTGTAGAGAGAGTAGAGCAGTGGACTGAGCACACAGCCCTGGGGTGAGCCAGTGCTGAGACTCAGGGCTGAGGATGTGTGATGGCCAACTCTGACTCTCTGTCTACGGCCCGAGAGGAAGCTATTGATCCACATGCAGGTGCTGTCTGGAAGCCCCAGGTCTTGTAGCTTGGCCACCAGTTTGTGTGGAAGGATGGTGTTAAAAGCTGAGCAGTAATCCACGAAGAGCATCCGCACATAGCTACCATGCTCTTCCAGGTGAGTTAATGCAGCATGGAGTGCTGTGGCTACAGCGTCTTCCGTGGATCGGTTTGCTCTGTAGGCAAACTGGTGTGGATCCAGGCTGCGGGGCAGGGCTGCTGTGATGTGTCTGCGGACCAGCTTCTCAAAGCATTTCATTACCACTGGGGTGAGTGCCACCGGTCTGTAGTCATTCAGGCCGGTGATGTGGGGCTTCTTAGGCAAGGGGACTATGGTGGAGGACTTCAGGCAGAGTGGGACAGTCGCCTGTGCGAGGGATTTGTTGAAAATCCTGGGTGAAGATCCCAGCCAGCTGTCCTGCACAATCCCTCAATATTCGACCTGGCACACCATCAGGACCCGCCGCCTTCCTCGGGTTAACAGCCTGCAGCATGCGCCTCACCTCGTGCTCTTCCAGGGTGAGGGTGGTGCTGCTATGGGTGGCGTGTTGCTGCTGTGGCTCCAATACCTCCGGTACCCTGGTCTCAAAGCGGGCAAAGAAGATATTCAGCTCCTCTGCCAGCTCCAGGTCACCGTCCGCAGCTCCGAGATTGATCTTATAGTTGGTTAGGTGCTGGATGCCTTGCCACACCTGCCGGCTGGTATTACTCTTCAAAAACAAGGCCAATTTCTGCTCACTTCCAGTGATATTAATCCCTTTTATGTTACCATTCTGCCTAATCCTTTCAGCCAATGGCTCTATAAAAATAGCAAATAAGAGTGGACTCAGTGGGCATCCTTGTCTTGTGGACCTTTCAAGCTTGAAAGCATCTGAAAGTTCACCGTTAATCTTTACTTTTGCAGTTGGGCTATTATATACAAGGCCCTCAATATAGTGATGATGGACCCATTAAACCCATGGATTTTTTTTTAAAATATGAAAAACATTTAACTTTTTCCTTCCGTCATACTTCAGAAATATAATACATTAATTTTTTGAACATTTTAAAACATTTAAGTTTGCTCGTTGTATTTATAAGATCCTACATTGACATGCTCCACAATCATTGGTCAGTCATGTTAAAATCCATTATCAGTGGAAAACAAACCTGATCCTCTACTAGAGGCGATTGTGCAATACCTTTTAGACATAACACTCAGCAAACAGTTATTATTAGTTAAAGTCAGTGAGATTTGGAGTGATACATGACACATGACGGAATAAGACACGCAGACTTAGCATGACGAACCGACGAGGAACATGTACACTGTGAATACATACAGAGGGAAAAGGGGACAGGAGATAAGACATGGACATAACTAAGCACAAACAGAGCATGATGGCTGGGGGGGAAACACACGTGACAGAAGGAATGGGTCACAAGGGAAAAACATGTAAACGAGACGGGAGAAAAGGACATTACTGAAATACATGAAGGGCCAGGGCTGGGACAGCCAACCAGTCACAGACAAAGAGCCACATCATACACCTGGGCGCACATGAACATCACCCATCCCTTCCTCTGTCCTGCGTTCAGTTTAGGGTATCGAACTCAGGACCCTAGCCTCATCAGGCCGGGGTCTTTGTGTGGAGTCTGGATGTTCTCTCGAGCTTCCTCCCACAGTCTAGGGACATGCAGTTAGTGGGGGTCTTCTCGCCCCGTTCACATTCACACAGAGATGAATTGAAGATCACCTTGTGGTTAGTGCCTTCTATTCGATGTACAGACTGAATAATAACACCTTCTAATTAGTTCTGTCTCCTATTGGTGCTCTTCTACGAGTGATCAGTGCTTGATGGCTTACTAAGCTAACTTTTTCCACAACATTGATAACAAACACACACAGAACAACAACAACATATGTTATCTAAAAAAAACTTGATTGGACCAAAGTTTTGATGTTCATCCTACATGTTTATTGAGATTGTCTAATGTCTGCGACGGTATCTTCTCCCACGTCTGCGGACACCCGAGGCCTTGTGGGGTCTCTTGTGTCTGCGAACGGGGCGAGAAGACCTCGCATGTCTGCGTCTATACCTGCGTCGTGGGCATTGTCCAAACGGCGGTACCTGCTCCACGTCACGGGTTCTATTTATGGACTCACCTGGCAACTTTAGTGATGTCACTGCTGATGTTGTCACTGTTGGTGTGACCTCATGACTCATTCATGCCATCTGAACTGTGGTGTAATTATGAGGTCACAGGGGGACATGAATTTATTCACAAAGTTGATAGAGGTTTGGGTCATAACTCAAAGACGCAATGATGCAGTCAAATCATTTGGAATTAAATATCTCCTGTCAGTGCGCCCCAGGGTGGCTGTGGCTACAATGTAGCTGCCATCACCAGTGTGTGAATGGGTGGATGACTGGATGTGTAAAGTGCTTTGGGGTCCTTAGGGACTAGTAAAGCGCTATGCAAATACAGGCCATTTACCATCTGTAAATTACAAGATTTAGAGGGTTCTGAATCACAGTCATCTTTCTGACATTGACATCCAGTCTCTCTGTTGTGATGTCAAATATCCATGCCAGATTCATCTCTCTGTTGTGATGTCAAATATTAATGCCAGATTCGTCTCTCTGTTGTGATGTCAAATATTAATGCCAGATTCATCTCTCTGTTGTGATGTCAGATATCAATGCCAGATTCGTCTCTCTGTTGTGATGTCAGATATTAATGCCAGATTCGTCTCTCTGTTGTGATGTCAAATATTAATGCCAGATTCGTCTCTCTGTTGTGATGTCAGATATAATGCCAGATTCGTCTCTCTGTTGTGATGTCAGATATCAATGCCAGATTCGTCTCTCTGTTGTGATGTCAGATATCCAATGCCAGATTCGTCTCTCTGTTGTGATGTCAATATTAATGCCAGATTCGTCTCTCTGTTGTGATGTCAGATATTAATGCCAGATTCGTTCTCTGTTGTGATGCAAATGCAGATTCGTCTCTCTGTAGTGATGTCAAATATTAATGCCAGATTCGTGTCTCTGTTGTGATGTCATATTAATGCCAGATTCGTCTCTCTTTGTGATGTCAGATATCAATGCCAGATTCGTTCTCTGTTGAACAGTATCCGGGTTTACACCAGCCCACCAGATTTCTTATTTGTGTTGCCTGTAGTAATCCTGTAGGCAAGGGATACCTAATCCTCCTTTATCTTTGGGAAGCTGAAGTGTTTTTGAACTTAACTCTTGGCTTTTTACCTCCCATATAAATCTTGAGAGGGTCCTATCCCACTCTACAAGTATCTATCAGGGTTTTCTATAGAAACAGACTGGAATAAGTTTAATATCTTTGGGAGCATATTCATTTTTATGATGTCCACTCTAGAAGAAATGCTTAGATAGACCATCTGCTAATATTTAGCATGATATCTTTTTTAAGTAGGGGGTAGTTGATTTCTTCCAAGCTAGTTATATCCATTGATAAGTTTATGCCCAGATATTTGATAGTTCTTTTGTCCCAGCTTAGTTTGTATTTGTTGAGCAGATTCTGGGAGGGCTATAAAAGCTACTAAGAACTTGTGTTTTTTGTATATTCAATTTATATCCCGAGTATAGCCCATACTCCTTTAACACTGACATGAGCTCCATAAGTGATTCGGTAGGTTTTGATAAGTAAACCAAAATGTCATCTGCAAACAGAATCAGAATCAGAGACTTTATTGTCATTGTCATGAGAACAACGAAATGAAGAATGGTCCCCGATCATTGCATCATCCCTAGCAATATCAAAATATAAATAAAACAATAAAATTCAATAAATAAAATAGATAGAATACTTAAAATACTAATAAGATATAACAGTAAAACATTCACATACATTCCCACACACATGCTTCAGACCGTGCATAGATTAACACAAGAGTGGCGTGATGGACATTTTTTTGTAGTATTCAGATGTGTTATTGCAGTTGGATAACAGCTGTGTTTGAGTCTATTAGTCCTTGCTCTGATTGCCCTGTACCGTCTGCCTGAGGGCAACAGTTCGAACAGGGAGTGGCCAGGATGTGAGGTGTCTTTTATGATGTTTTGGGCCTTTTAAAAACAGTGGGCGTTGTGTAGAACTTCCAGTGTGGGGAGAGGGCAGCCAGTGATCTTTTGGGCGGTGTTAATGATCCTTGGAGTGCTTTCCTCTGAGCCCCTGTGCAGCTAGTGTACCAGATGCATATGCAGTAAGTTAGAACACTCTCAATGGTGGCTCTGTAGAAGGGACACCAGCAGTCTCTGTGTGATGTTATTCCTCCTGAGAATTCTCAGGAAGTACAGTCTCTGTTGGGCCTTTTTCAGCAGCTCGGAGGTGTTCACACTCCAGGAAAGGTTCTCCTCTATATTGACTCCCAGGAAGCGGGAAGCTTGCCACCCTTTCTACACAGTCCCCATTTATGAATAGTGGTTGGATCTCTGCCTTTTTCCTTCTGAAGTCTATTATGAGTTCTTTGGTTTTTGAAGTGTTGAGGAGGTGGTTATTGGCCTTACACCATGACGTCAGCTGCTCCACCTCGTCTCTGTACATAGACTCGTCTCCCTTGGAAATGAGCCCCACCACTGTGGTGTCATCTGCAAATTTCACAAAGATGTTGCTGTGGTGGCGAGGAGTGCAGTCGTGTGTGTAGAGAGAGTAGAGCAGTGGGACTGAGCACACAGCCCTGGGGTGAGCCAGTGCTGAGACTCAGGGCTGAGGATGTGTGATGGCCAACTCTGACTCTCTGTCTACGGCCCGAGAGGAAGCTATTGATCCACATGCAGGTGCTGTATGGAAGCCCCAGGTCTTGTAGCTTGGCCACCAGTTTTGTGTGGAAGGATGGTGTTAAAAGCTGAGCAGTAATCCACGAAGAGCATCCGCACATAGCTACCATGCCTTTCCAGGTGAGTTAATGCAGCATGGAGTGCTGTGGCTACAGCGTCTTCCGTGGATCGGTTTGCTCTGTAGGCAAACTGGTGTGGATCCAGGCTGCGGGGCAGGGCTGCTGTGATGTGTCTGCGGACCAGCTTCTCAAAGCATTTCATTACCACTGGGGTGAGTGCCACCGGTCTGTAGTCATTCAGGCCGGTGATGTGGGGCTTCTTAGGCAAGGGGACTATGGTGGAGGACTTCAGGCAGAGTGGGACAGTCGCCTGAATGATTCGAAGAAAGATTCACAAAGAGCCAGAGCCTGATGTGCACAGGACCAAAAGGATCTGCTGCTAACATCCTGTGTCCAGACAGCAAAGGACATCCTCAGAGTGTCCAGTGTTCGTGCCCTGACAGGCCATGCTGTTGGCTTCAATAAAGGGGCTGCCTGAGGTAACTGCTAAACCTGAATAATATTTTACTAATTTGGTGTGAATATTAATATAAATTCAAGATAAATAAATAAAAAACAACAAAAGGCAAAAACATGCGCCAACATTGCCCTTGTTTAAATAAAGCTAGCAAATATTTCATACTTGGGTGGGGATTAGCGTCAGTCTGAATGTCGCATTTGTTGTGAGAAGAGATTATTTTGTTTGCTGCTCAAATATTCTTTTAAGTTAAAACATACAATCTGCAATATAAATGATGTTGAATCAGAAATAACATGATTAAAAAATCCCGGATGGTTCCACCATTTGCAATGCATATTCAGACTGAGATGTAAGTATTGGTGAATATGTTCACATTCATAGACACTATGCAGTAAACT